CCCCCCCCCCCCCCCCTACTTGTTCAACTGTTCCGCCGAAGACACGACGGTCGTGTGTTGCTGTAAAGAGTGCATGCTAGACTATTGTCTACATCAAGGTGCCAGGCTGCGGACGCTAATACTCCCACCTTCATCTGCAGGATCACCCCTTGGGGGTAACAAAAACTTCGGATACCTCAGAAGCGTGTGTGAAGTGACGATATTTCCACGACGCTTGAGCAACGTGGGCGGAGCACCTCAAGAGTCACTGCAGTCGTCGAAGAGGCCACCCCGAAAACGTCAACGGTCGGACGAACGGCGGGGCTATCACGAATCTGGGCACCGAAAGCACAATCTGAACCAAGTTTCCCAGACGAGTTGGAGACAAGGCGTTCCACGACGATTTGGACGATCCTCTCCAATATGCTCACTATTATACCTGTTCGCGATGAAGCACCACTTGAACCGGGGAGGTTGATTTGCTGATTGATTATGGCATTATGCCAAAATGGCTCCGGCGCTTTCGTGATGATACCCTCAAAGGGCAGTCATCATCATTGTCATCACCTACTGACGGTCAGTCGTGGGCTTGGGAGGTCGTACACAGCTCGCTGACCCTGATAACACAGAAGGACGGGGACGGGAAGAGGTTACGCTCCCGCAACCTTGTCATATTATTTTTGTGCGTGTGAAAGTACTCCTCTACAGGTATGAGTATGTATAGGCAACGGCACAGTTGTCAACAGCTAACCGCTAAACAGACGAACTCTGTAGCCCATTATTCATTATTGCCGTTCGACGCATCATCAAGAGCTTGTTCTCTCGAACCTGTGCATTGCCCAATGATAATTAGACTAGACATTGTCGTTAATGTTCAAATGGCCAGGGTGTCCAAAGAAACATGAAGAAGGAAATTCTTCAGCAGTAGGCCCGCTGCTGGGCCGCCGTGGGGTCCACTCAAACAAAAACCAATCACAAAGCCTCCCTCGTCCTGCGCTCTGACTCTAGCCATCGACGAACAGCTTGCCCACGGCGGCGTGCTGACGTACGTGTTGTTTATTTAGCTTGCTGTTCAAATTTGCGCGAAAAACCGTTGCAAGCAGACTCCTTTACATTTCGAATATCTTGCCTGGCCTAAAAAAAGACCCTCCTTTATGGAAACAGAATATTGCAAATATCTTGGCATTTTGACCCGAGATTTGCTCAAGATATATATCGCGATTCATAGGGGAAATATGTTGAACGTTGAAAAAAGCTGCTTGTTGTTCCTATCTTCTGCCTTAAGTTGACAAAGGCGCAACGGGCACTTGGTCCACAGAAAATGCCAAGGTGTGGCGAAAAGTGAGCCTGACGCAGTTGTAGAAGGAGCATCCCTCCCCCAGCTGTATTTTCCTCAACACTATGGGTGATACTAGCGATGGGCGCCTACCTAGGGTGCAAAATAGAAGCAGGTGCCCACGAGCCCATGTCAAGCGGAGAACCATAATTGTTCCATCGCTGTCCAACTGACAACAAAGTGCATCAACCCGAAGCCGATGACACCTGTGCACGTATCTCACGACGTAGCGGGCGTACCGAGGTCAAACCTCCGGTCCTGTCATCTGCACTCACAGATCTGGCTCGGGTGTAAACGGATTAGGTGTGGGGTGATTCGATGAAGAGATAGAAGCGTCGCCCACGACAGAGCTGTGTTGGCAAACGTTTCTCCTCCTCAATTTTTCTACTTTAAAATAAACTACCGTTATCATCGGGGTCTTGGCACATATCGGGGTCTTGGCACAGGGTATGCGGAAAGAAAGCGGGTTCCGAATGATTTGAAAGATTATCACACAGGTATCGTCGTCTCCGCACACTGTGTTGAGACGCCGATATGTGCGGTGAGGTTTGGCGGTAAGTGATACCCTTTTACCAGCATCTTGTGCTGGAAATTCCGGATACTGTGGGAGCTTGAATCGCGTGCTCCACTGCTACTGCTGCCCTTGGCACCATGACGATGTTCAAAAATGTGGTATTTGTACGCTTTGTTCTCTTCTTTTCGTTCTGAAGAATCAAGATCGGCAATCGGCAAACGGCATCCACTCAACAATTCTAAACGCAGATCAAACCAAAAACAAAGTAAAAAATCACACCAAACTACCACTACGAGCTACCAACGTCCTACCACTGTACTTCCTAGGCGGGTTGAACTCTACTTCTTGCCCGCGCCCCTACCATCGCAAAAACATCCGATCTCACTGGCAATCCCAAAGACCTATGATTCAAAGTTCGACTACTTCTCCTTCGGCGCCCCCGCCCCCCTGCCCCTCCACGACTTCCACGTCGCTGTCGCCCTCCAAGACCTCAACCTCGCTGTCGCTCTCATCAGCGACGTATGGCAGCAGCTTCCCCTCGACCTCTTTTTGAGCAGCCGTGATGGGGTTGGAGTCGAACCCCCCTGGTACCTTCGGCAGCTTGAGCGGCGGGAGAGTCACGTCGGGGTGCTCAGCGAGCCACACGGCGTGCTGCTCCTCGAGAAGGTCGCGGTAGTCTTCCCCGAAGTTGTGCTCGCACCAGGCGTGGTCTTCGCTGCCGTCGAGCGCGAGCGTGAGACCGCAGATCTTGAAGCAAGTCTTCACCGTCTCGGGGGTGATGGACTCCCACGCTTCCTTGCACCACGTAGAGACGACCCCACGCTCCGGTGGCTTCAGCTTCCCCGACCGGGCGTCTGCGACCGCCGACGCGCTGTAGGCGGTGTACTTGCCCCGCAGCAGCCGCTTCATCTGCTTGTTGAGCATGCGGTCAAGCGGGTGGAACAAGGGCGTCAACCCGCCTGGGATGAAGATGACGATGGTGTTGGGGTCCCTATTGAGGGCGGCGATGAAACCCTCGTCCTTGTGGCACCTGAAGTCGTCCAACACCAGGATGCACGGGCGCTGCTGGACGATGCTGCCGTTGTTGGGACGGANTGTCTCGGGGGTGGACTCCCACGCTTCCTTGCACCACGTAGAGACGACCCCACGCTCC